TCCCCATGTTGTGGGGATTCCCCAGCCATAAAATTCTTTCATTGCTACTTCATAACTGTAATTTTGTCACTGTTATGAATTGTAATACAAACATCTACTTGCAGACATCCCTAGGTTACCCCTGTGAAAGGTACTCTGACCCCCAAAGGGATGGCAACCTTGTTGATTGTGGAGAACCGCTGCTGCTCCGAGCTCTTTGCAGGTCTGCTTTAAGTCTTTGTCTTGCTACATCATAAGATAGGCATACCCCAGTTTCTTGTGTTTCATGTTTGGTACTCATTGCTGTGGCCCTAGCTCTTTAGCCTTTTATTTATTTTTATCATATTAATAATATAAAACATTTTATGAACTTAAAATGTCCCATAGCCTTATAAATTTAAAGATTTTCAAAGCTGTTCTTTAAAAAAAAATCTAGTTTTTTAAAATTTTTCTGTAAAACTACAAAATTTTCTCTTAAGAAAGTTTAAAATCTCTCAACTGTGTGCTCTTGCAATATCAAAAATTAAACCTTTTTACTTCAGGAGGGAGCAAGCATAATCTGCAGAGGCAAAACCAAGCTCGAGAAATGCAAGCTTTGACTGTTTTATTTGTTTAAATTAGCATATATTGTTATAGATTTATTTTGTTATGGTGCTTTGTGCATTCTTTTGTTGGTCACTTCCTAGGTCTTAAGAAGCTGTCCTGGGAGACAGAATGCTTCAATTCAGAGAAAATTATCTTTCTGACCATGAGATAATTTATTGTAATAATTTTCAACTCCTTTTTTTTTTTTTTTTTTTTTTTTTTTGGTTTTTTCGAGACAGGGTTTCTCTGTGGCTTTGGAGCCTGTCCTGGAACTAGCTCTGTAGACCAGGCTGGTCTCGAACTCACAGAGATCCACCTGCCTCTGCCTCCCGAGTGCTGGGACTAAAGGCGTGCGCCACCATCGCCCGGCTGAATTTTCAACTCCTTTTTCCTACTAATATGATTTCATTTTTGTTTATGGCTGAATAAGAAATCCCATTGTGTATATGTACCCCATTTTCTTTAGCCATCTGTTAGTGGACCTTTAGGATGGTTCCACTCTTGCTGTTGTGAATAGTGTGGTAATAAACATGCATGTGCAGGTATCTGTCGATAGGACGTGGAATCCTTTGGGCGAATGCCCGGGAGTGTCATATCTAGGTCTTATGGGAGTTTTATCTTCAGTCATGTGAGCAGCCTTTACACTAGCTTCCTTAGTGGCTGTGCTGTTTTACATTCCCACCAATGACTTATCTTTTATTACATCCTCTTCAGAATTTGTTATTTGTTTTCTGTGGTAAGATGGAACCTCAAAATTTTTATGTGCATTTATTTGGTAACTAAAAATGCTGAAGTGTTTTAAAAATAGTATTGGCTGTTTATGTTCTTTTGAGAAATCTCTATTGAGTTCATTAGCCCATTTATTGATTGGAAGATTTAGGGCTTGGGTGTTTATTTATTTATTTTTGCGGTTCTTTCTGTATTTTTTTTTTTTTTTGGTTTTTTGAGACAGGGTTTCTCTGTGGCTTTGGAGCCTGTCCTGGAACTAGCTTTGTAGACCAGGCTGGTCTCGAACTCACAGAGATCCGCCTGCCTCTGCCTCCCGAGTGCTGGGATTAAAGGCCTGCGCCACCATCACCCGGCTCTTTCTGTATTTTAAATGTTAGCTTTGAAATGCAGGTGGCTCAGACTCCCTCACATCCTGTGGGCTATGAGTTCACGCTTTTGGTGGTTTCTTTTGCTGGGTAGGAACTTTCTAATTTCATGTAATTCCATTGTCAGTTCTTGGAGTTTTTTCCTATGCTATTAGAGCTCTTTTTAAAGGTCCTTGCCTGTTTCTATACCCCCTGTGTTTTTCTCTGGCAGTTTTAGAGGCAGCTTTCTGTTAGAACTGCCTTAACTACAGCCCAGGGTTCAGTGAGTTGTGCTGTCTTTTCATTTGACTCTAGTAATTTTAAAAATCCCCTCTCTGCTTTATTCAGTGGCTCACTGTTGATTGAAAAGTGTTTTCAGGGGCTATGGATGTTGATAGAGTGCTGGACTATTACACACAAACCCTGCGTTTCTTTCTCAGAAGTAAATGAATCAATTAAGTAACAGAAGTACATCATTCGGGCTCTGAATATGGGCTTAGTTCTGTGGTTTCTCTTGCTGCTGACTTATAGTTTTAGTTCAGTACAGGTAATATGATACATTATTAGGAAGTATTTCAGTTTCATTAAATTGAAATTTAATTGATTTTTAGAGATTTTATCTACCACTGAGAAGTATTTTTTCCCTACCAGTTGGCTGAGATATTCTGCAGCTGTCACTGATCTGAAGTCCCCCCACTAATATGGTCAAGGTGGCTCTGATCTTGCATGCCCTTTAGAGTTTGTTACATAAATCTGGGAGTCCTAAATTCAGTGCATAGACACTTCCAATCATTTTCTCCCTTCTCGGTGAGTTGTTTCTTTGTGAATAGTAGGCTTCTCCATCTGCTTTGGTGAGGTTTGGTTTCCATGGGCAGGTAAGGCTGGGGACTGTTGGGCAGTGTTACAGAAACATGTCTTCTTTTGTAGTCAGCTACTGTCACAGTCTGTGCCTGCTCCTAGCAGCAGGGAAGTCCAGGAAGTGTGGCTCTTGTTTGTGTAACTGTGTAGACATAATGAAGAGGTTTGTTACATAAGAAAAATAGGAAGTTAAACAGAGCCAGCACCGTCTGTCATGCAGTCTCGTGTAGTGTTTAACTCCTGCTTTCTGTTTTCCCTTGGGTGACTTTAAATTCAATTTCTCAATCATTAATGCATGAGTTCAAAAACTAGATAGAACCAAAGGGTTGCTGTGAAAAGTCCACCCGTCTACACAGTCCTCCCTACCCACAGTCTCTAACGTCTCCCCGTCTACACAGTTCTCCCTGTCTACACAGTCCTCCCTACCCACAGTCTCTAACGTCTCCCCGTCTACACAGTCCTCCCTACCCACAGTCTCTAACGTCTCCCCGTCTACACAGTCCTCCCTACCCACAGTCTCTAACGTCTCCCCGTCTACACAGTCCTCCCTACCCACAGTCTCTAACGTCTCCCCGTCTACACAGTCCTCCCTACCCACAGTCTCTAACGTCTCCCCGTCTACACAGTCCTCCCTACCCACAGTCTCTAACGTCTCCCCGTCTACACAGTCCTCCCTACCCACAGTCTCTAACGTCTCCCCGTCTACACAGTTCTCCCTACCCACAGTCTCTAACGTCTCCCCATCTACACAGTCCTCCCTACCCACAGTCTCTAACGTCTCCCCATCTATACAGTCCTCCCTACCCACAGTCTCTAATGTCTCCCCGTCTACACAGTCCTCCCTACCCACAGTCTCTAATGTCTCCCCGTCTACACAGTCCTCCCTACCCACAGTCTCTAATGTCTCCCCGTCTACACAGTCCTCCCTACCCACAACCACTAATGTCTCACTATCAGTTCTCGGCTTCTGTGTGGAAACATGAGAAAAGGTAACTATGCATTCTTCCTCTTCCTCTCTCAAAGCATCTGCCTGATGTACCCTGGTCCTGAAGTAGAGCAGGTAGAGGAGGGGTCTGAGGACAGGAGTGATGGAGCGGGAACTCACAGGTGCCCTGAGGTACTGCCCACCCAGTGTCTTGCTTTGTGTTGGTTACACGAACATTCCCTTCATAATGTTTGGTTTAAACTACATTTGAGATTTATATACCATCTTACGGTTTTTCATAGTAAGAATGTTTTTAAAAATGGATCCTGAGAATTGGTTTAAATGAATCCATTTGAGATACCCTTTAACAGTCTTATTTACCCCATTTCTGTTTTAATAAAATGTAGAGCTATTTAATGAGGCAGAAGTGGCCTGGAAAATTCTTTTCTTAACCTAAATGATCATATCTGTGTCTCCTTGTAAGGTCCATTACCATGATTCTCAGATAAATTAATAGATTCCACCTCAGAAAAAATATAGAGAGTTAAAAGCTAATGTTGTCTTTCTGTGGCCTATACTGTAGTTTAGAATTCTTTTCAGTGTGTCGTATATCACTTCTACTAAATCTGAGCTGTTTCCCGCTGTTCTGTTTCTTTACTCTCATTTCTCATCAGGACGGCAGCCTAACAAATGTGTGCTCCTCACTAACCTGTGTCTTCGTTAGTAGCAGGAGCACTTTGGAGGTCTCTATGGATTCCCATGAGTTTATGGGGGGAGGGGATGTGGCTACTAAAGAATATGGTGTCCCAAGGCTGGCGTAGCAGCCACATCAATAGAAAAAAAAAAAAAAAAAAAAAAACAGAGCAAAGAATACCCAAACTCTCACATGTCTTGCATATGTAAAATTTTACGTTAGCTCTTACTTTAAAAAATTATTGTTATTTTTTTCACTTTATTTATGTATTTAATGTGTGATGGGGGACACATGTGTCTCACAGTGTGCATGTGGAAGTCAGAGGACAATTTGCAGGACCTGGTCCTCTCCTTCCACCAGCTGGGTCTCCAGGGTTGAGCTCAGGTCAGCGGCTGGGCAGTAGCCTTTTCCCCATGAGCCCTCCCCCGACACCTGTTTGCTCTGTTAACAGCGTTGTCACACAGTAAGCAAACCTCCAAGGCAATCATTAGTGGCTGGTGTTGGGGTGACGGTGACATTCGATCACTTCACAGTCTCTCCCATCGGGCTTTCTATTTCCTGACTAGACAGCTGAGCAGACCCAGGTATCCAGTTGTGATTCCGTTTGAGAAGCAGAGTCTTTGATGAGCAGCAGAGTCTTTGATCAGCTCCTCTTACAGAACGAGGCTCATTTCCAGCGCGGCTGTGTGGTTTCTAAGCCGCGGAGCAGTCTCATGATTGAAACTCAGAAGCTGCGTGATGTATGCGGAGCAGTGGGGGTCTGCCGGCCACTCTGCTGCTGCTGAAGGAATGAGGCTGGGCGGGGATTCGACTGTCGGAGACGTGGGGGAAATTTTTACCAATTTCTTATCTTCCGCTTTATCTGTACCCTTCTGTTTTAATACAGGTACAGCCTGACTGTTTGGACTGGAAAAGATGACAATTATTCCACTGAAGATTTACTTTATATTCGAGACTACTTTAATAAAACCCAAGTTTTCTATGATATTTTGGATCCACAAAACCATGAATTTAAACAAGCCATTGGGATCCGAGTCCCTCTTTAAGAATACAAGAATTCACTTCTTCTAAATCCGTTTCTCTTTTGGCTTCATATCCTTCTCTGCTTTGTCAAAATTAATTACTGTATTAATAGTGATTATTGGTTTGTGCTAAATTTATCCAATCAAAATGTCTATTGTGTACTTCCTCCACCTTTATAATGTCATATGGCTGTGCGTATGAAAGATTTCCCAGCTGCAGTAAAACTGTCCAAGCTGGGTGTGCTAGAACATGCTTTTAACCCTACAACTTAGGGGACTGAGGCAGGAAAATCAAGAGTTCAAGGCCAGCCTGGACAACATTGTGATACCCTATCTCAAAAACAATTTTTATAAATTCTCTGTAATCACCAGACATTAATTTTGTAAAAAATTTCAATTATTGAATTGACTACTTTTTGATGAAATTAGGAGCACGATATATTTGTCCAGAATGAAATACTTCCTATCTAGCCCTTAACAATTTTCTTGAAAAGTTTTCCTATGTTTGTTTGTTTGTTTGTTTATTTATTTATTTATTTATTGTATGCATGTGTATGTGAGTGTGTCATGATGCATATGTAGCAGTCAGAGGAAAGTCTCTAGGCACAGGTTCTCTTCTTCCACCTGTGTGTCCTGGAGATGACACGCAGGTTGTTAGGCTTGGCAGCAAGCACCTTTACTGCTGAGCTGTATGTCTGGCCTCATAATCTGAAGACAATAGTATATTCTAAGTGACATTCAAGAAGCTGCCACTTAGATTTAGATATAAAGAAATTAAGCTGTTCTAAGAAACAAAAGTGCTTAGAGAGAATCATGAGATTTATTCTACTGCAAAGTATATTCTGAATGATTACTTGTGTGGGTAAATACCTGTGCTCAGATCTTCACGGCACACATGACTGAAGAGCACCTTTGGCCTAAACACAAAGCCGAGCTTAGAAGGCATTTGGCAGTGAGTGTAAAGACCTCCTGGCTTCTGAGACAGGCAGGAAGCACTAACTCTAAAAGAAAATACAGATAAATGGATTTGAACAAGCGTCTCATCAAAATACACCATTGAGATGGCTCAGTAGTTAAGGGCATTGACAGCTTTTCCACAAGACTCAAAGTTCAGTTCTTGACACCTACATGGTGTCTTACCACCATCTGAAACTCCAGATCTACAGGATGGAATGCCCCCTGCTGATCTCCTTGAGTACTGCACTCATGTGGTGCACAGACACACATGCAGGCAAAACACTTATACACATAAAATAAAATTAAATTCTTAAAAAAAAAACAGCACTGGGGCATATCTGACAAAGGACTGCTATTTTATGTCATGTACACCTATAAAGTGGTAAAAAGTCAAAAGCTTGAATTAAAAATGAGGAAAAATTGACAGCTACACCATGAAATAATATATCCACATGCCCAAAGCAAGTTTTGCAGAAAAGGTTCTGGACAGTATTACTGTTCATACAGGAAAGGCAGTTTAGGCCACAGTGAGATACTAGTGCATACATCCCAGAACAGCTAATACTAGAAGGACTGGCAGCTTGTAGGGGGCAAAGGAAACATTCCTGCAGTTTTCAGTAAAGACAGTATCTCTGACTAGGATCCAGCCATTGTATCCATAAGCATGAAGTCAGGGGAGTTCTCATGCTCACAGAGAAGAATTGTGATAGAATGCTGGTAGCCGTTGTATTCTGAGCCCTAGTTAGAAACAACACATTTTCACCAGCAGGATGTAGACAGGGGTTTCTGTTCCATCTGGTCCTGCAGCCGTTCGGTCCCAAAGAAATACATAGAGGTCTACTACATTAATCATAAACTGGTTGGCCTAGTAGCTTAGGCTTATTGTTAACTAATTCTTACATCTTACTTACATTAACCCATTATTCTTGTCTGTGTTAGCCATGTGGCTTGGTACCTTTGTCAGTGAGGCATTCTCATCTTGCTTCCTCTGTGGCTGGGTGATGACTGCAGACTGAATCTTTGCTCTTTCCAGAATCCTCCTGTTCTCATCGCTCCACCTCTACTTCCTGCCTGGTCTCCCTGCCTATACTTCCTGCCTGGCTGCTGGTCAAGCAGTGTTTTATTAAAAATAATACAAGTGACAGGATAAAAGACCATTGTCCCACAGCAGCAAGAGAACTGCTAAATATAATTAACTTACTACACAGTGTTAAAAAAAAGAAGTCTGAACTGCTTAATTCATGTTGTACGGATAATAGTAAACAGTGCAGAAGGAGTGAGGACAACAGAGTACATACTATATGGATCCATTCAAGGACACTGTCTTAGTTAGGGTTTCTATTGCTGTGAAGACACACAATGACCGCAGCTACTCTTATGAAGAAAAATATTTAATTCGGTGGATTACAGTTTCAGGGGCTATCATCATGGTAGGAAGCAGGCTAGTGTACAGGCAGACATGATGCTTGAGGTACCTGAGAGTTCCACAACTTGATCCACAGGCAACAGGAAATGAACTATAAACCCCTCTGAATGTAGCTTGAGCATAGGAGACCTCAAAGCCCACCCCCAACAGGGACACACTTTCTCCAACAAGTCCACACTTACTCTAACAAAGCCACATCTCCTAATAGTGCCACTCCCTATGGGGGCCATTTTCTTTCAAATCAACATATGCACCCAAAAGTAAGTTATGGCAACAGAGGTGCGAATGGTGGTTACTCATAGGATTAGGCAGAGTATTGGATGGGCAGTGGAACAATTTGGAGAAGAGATGAAAATGTCTGTAACTGTGCCAACATTTTGAAAAGCATATTTGGGAAGAAATTACCGAGATGTACATTTTACTGTGTTGTAAGTTATATATATCAATCTTTGATAGTATTTTCACAGACCTTGATGTATATAAATTCATAGAATGCTAACAGACACTGAAAAGCCAGCTTCTGTTAATGTGGAAAGATATTGTGGTTGCAAAACAGCACTATGGGATGGTTGTATATGCAAAGCTGGCGTATTCACAAATACAGAGAATTTTGGAAAGAAGCTCAAACACAAAATACTTGATGCTTCCACATTCCCAAGCCTAACGTATCGGTGTTGTCATCCCATAGCATTGGAATTCTGCTCCCAGGACTCACAAGATCTTCCCGTGTTGAGCTACTAAGCGGTGGGCTGTGTCCCGCCACCCGGCTAGCTTTACCCGAAATAATTACACGGAAACTGTATTCTTTTAAACACTGCCTGACCCATTAGTTTCAGTTTTTTATTGGCTAGCTTTTACATATTGATCTAACCCATTTCTATTAATCTGTGTAGCCCACGAGCTGGCTTACCAGGAATGATCTTAACCTGTGTCTGTCTGGAGTGGGCGAACCATGGTGTCTCCCTGACTCAGCTTCTTTCTCCCAGCATTCCGTTCTGTTTACTCCGCCTACCTAAGGGTTGGCCTATCAAATGGGTCTAGGTAGTTTCTTTATTAATAAGAAATCACTCCCACATCATTCCCGCCTCAGAAGAGACACTGGTAAGAGATTTGATTGTTCCTAATTTCAGAGCCTTCCAGATGCACAATTACTTTTGGTCCTGTGAGAGTGGCATGGCTGCTCATTCTCTGTGGGAAATTATTAAAATAATTCAGAACAATTTGTTGATTTACTTGGATCATAGTTCTCTGGGCACTTTACCCCCTGTAATTTGAGCTGCCACATAGATTTTGTTTTAAAGAACCCCATTAAGTTTCCTAAGGCTCAGGGAGTAGGAAACGGAACAGACATTTCCCTATGGTGAGACTCTGCAAGTGTTTCTCTGGGACCCTATGCTGGGACTCCATCCAGACTGAGGTGACAGTTACGGACGCCAGAGAGGAAGCTTTGAGATACTGATAAGGTGCTTGGCTGCTCCAGGGACCATGACCCACCATAAGCAGGGAAGGATTGTGGGAATCCAGGGACCACAACCCCCACCATAGGCAGGGAAAACTTCCACCCACCCAATTCTGGACCTAGTTTCCTCTCCAAGAAAGACATTCTTTTCCTCAAGTCATCCTGTTTTCTAAGGACTCCACCTCATCCCACTCCCACAGTGATTTTGACTTTACTCCATATGTAAATTATTTCATAACATAGACAATAAAACTTCCCACACAGTTCACAGTTACAATAGCAAGAGAGTAGGGACTGTGGGAGGCTGGCCAGTCTCCTGGCTTCTCCCCATTGCTTTGTCCCTGTGCCTAGGAGGCTCACAGGAGCACCAGTCCAGTGACATCTGGACATGCTGGAGCCACCTGGGTTTCATTGCTGCTGTATTCGCTCTCTTTCTTTCTTTGGAGTGAAAGAACATAACAAAAGACCAAATTTTTAATTAAGGTATTTGGCTGTGAAGGTCTTGCTTCTTTGTCAGCCCAAGGGCTAATTACGAAAGCACAGAACCTCTGGGGCTCAGAGCAGAGCACTCTTCTAATGTGTACTGCTTACGGGTCTGTTGCTGTGATTAGGCACCGTGAACGAAGGTAATTTAGGAAGGGTTTATTTTGGCTTATCATTCCGGAGGGATAAGAGTCCATCATGGTGATGCTGAGGTATGGCGGCAGGCAGCCTGAGCAGGAAGCTGGGAGCTCCTATCTTCAATGGCAAACGTGAAGCAGACACAGCAAAGGAGAAGCGAGAAGCAGGGGCAAGGCTGTGTACTCTCAAAGCGCCCTGCAGTGACAGGCTTCCAGCAGCAAGGCTACATCAGCTAACCACTCCCAAACAGAACTACCTGCTAGGAGGAGAGTGCTCAAATACTGTGCCTAGGGGTATTTCTCATTAAACTACCATAGCATGTAAGAGGCCCTGCCCCCCCTCTTACACACACACATACACACATACACACACACAGTTCCTGTTGTATCCCCAACATTGCACTCTCAAGGGTCTGGAGGCCTTGGTGGTCCCACCTGCTATATAGGTCTATAATCACGTACTTTATTACTGACCATAGTAACTTAAGAGCTTTGCCCAGTGAGGTCCTTGTGTTACAGCGGACTTTGTATTTCTGAGACATGCTCCATCATGGCTACTTGCTGTAGGGAAGCCACACATCCGCTCCTGTCAGATTGCTACCTCAGCATCCCCCTTAGGGCATTTCCATGTCTCTCTGGGTGGAAGTGATTTCTTCCCTTTGTTCCAAGTTCTTGATCCCAGTAAGAAGCACCATTGCAGGAGTCAGCTAGTAAGTGTTTTCCAATTTGAGAAAATTGATTTGAATCAAAATGTTTTGCTCAGCAATTAGAATCTGCACCATCATAACCAACACTGGGTGAACACGAAAACAACGCAGAATGCTGTGTGGGTGTGAGATTCCAAACCCGCTCTTGACTTCTCCTACTTAGTTCAGAAGTGATAACAAGTAAGGACATTTCAAAGAACCTTCTGGCTAAAACTGTTTCAGAGGTCATTCGAGAAGGAGGCCCCCTTCTCGAATGTCTGATCACAGCCATCTCCTGTGTGTGTTTCCAGGAATGGTACCCTATATTCCCCCTAGTGAAAGCTTCTCCCTAGACTGGCAGCCCTAGTGCAAATATTCCAGCTGCTTCATTTTCTAGTCGTGTTTGACTTCGTTTGAAAGACTCTGGGCTCAGTCATTTCATCATTCCTTTCAGTATTTAAGGCTAAGCTCAGTTGAGTCTGTCTGAGCTAAACACTACTCACTTTTAAATATTTTCCAGACTCGATTATCTTTTTCATCTTCTTGCATTGATTAATTTTGAGTCAATGTGACAGAAACACCTACAGAACACCTTAAGAGACCAGTTTTAGTCTATCATGGTGGGATGCATGGCATTGGAAGCATGTGGCAGGGTCTGCTCACTGTATAGCAGATAGGGTGCAGAAAGTGACTCAGAACTGAAAAAAAAAAAAAAAAACCACCCCAGGTGACTTCTCGGCCAGCCAGGCCCCACTTCCAAAAGGTTCCAGTCTCACAAAATAGTGCCACCAGCCTGGGGAGCAAGAGATCAGATGGGAGGCCATGGGAGACATTTTCAGTTCAAACCACAACTTTCTCCTGATGTCAGTGCTGTCCCCAGACTCGGATCTTTCACAGTTGATTAAGGAGGGCTGAATCAGTAGTGGACACAGATTAATCTTCCAGCAGCGTGATCTGGCCCCGTTGGCAGTTCCAGCACACACAGACGCCCCTAGACCGGTGATTAACTGAAGCTGCCCGTTTCCCTCACCAGCCATTGCTCGTCCTAGCTCCGTGCCGCTGAACCCACGGCCTTCACGACCGCTAAGCTTCTCATTGCAGGTTTGATCCTGCAGCCTGGCAGACTGGAGTCCTTGCACAGTTCCCGCTATCTGCAGGACATCCTTCCTAGCCTTCTTTTTTCTTTCCCTTCCCTTTCTTTAACTGTAGACTCTGACAGAAGGTTTGCAGAGATACGGTGTCCACTTGGGAAGGTGAGTCTCCCGTATCTGACAGATTTGCTATGGTTTGACTCTCCTAGGAACGTGGACTTGCGATCCAAGAGTCAGCTGAGAGTGGATGATATACATTGTGTATATGCATGAAATTACCAAAGAATAAATAATAGCCAGGTATGGTGGTGCTTGCCCATAATTCCATCATTCAGAGGCCAAGGCAAGAGCATTTTCAGTTCAAGGCCAGCCTGAACTATTAATAATACTCAATCGCAACAAAACAAGTAAATATGACCTAGAGACAACGCAACTAGACAAGACTATATAAATACAATTTTTAATCTACTAAGAATTATGGCTTCCGATTGAATTAAGCCTTGTGTTAAAATAGATTTCAAGCCAAGCAGGGTGTTGCCTACAATTCCAGCTCCTAGCCTAGGTAGGCTGAGGCACATAAATCCTGTGGGCTCAGAAGTTCTAGGTCAGTCTGGAAAATGTAG